CATAGTATTTTATCAAATCACCTCATTCTTTGGGGCACACGCGAGGAACACAAATGCGAACAAGCCTGAACGGTCTCCAGGCATATATGCAACTGAAAACTCACACCCCCAGAAGTGACTCGAACCCATACTGCCAGAAGCACTCTGCACCTGATGTACAGGATCCCTTAACCACTCGACTATACTTGTAGTTATGTTACTGAATATAACATGTAGGGTTAGGTCAATTACTCTAGTACCAATCTTCTCTACATTTCTTATGTTCGTCTTTTCTTGGAATAAAATTACCAAAATAATCTTACACTATGCTCTGAGGCTGACAGATGTGTTTCGCTGAAGCTGTCAACATATTCGGAGGCAGGGTGGAGGTGGTTATCAGTAAGCTGCAGCTTCATTACATAAAACCATGCGGGATAAGATACTAGTATATCAAGTATATCTGGTATACCAGAATCCACTTTATCCAGTATACCCTGGTATATCGAGTGGATGTTGGGTGGGGTAGTAGGCGAGGTGTGTGTGGAGTATTCTGCCGAGGTCCTGGTGAATAGATAATAGAGAATAGAGTCGTGTGCCATGTAGAGGGATAGACAACGTTTGTCTGGCTCAAGGCTCCTCGCTTGGTGTCGGGACAGTTTTTCATGAACAAGTCGACAGTTTTTCTTGTACTTGTTGTAAATAGTGAAGTGTATCTTGTGGCAGTAAGGGTCGCGTGTCTGCCAGTGATGTCTATAAGGACTCGCTTCTCCGTTTAGTGGGCTGTTGAGAGGAAGTTCCTCTACAAGAGTTTAGTGAGTGGGTCAGGTTGTGTAATGTTGGACGTTTCATCCCAGTTATCATGTCGGCGCATCTCTTTTTTTTAGTGGTCTCTGACAAGTTCGTTAGAGTGGCTGTTGTTTACAAGAACCTGCTTTACTCTGCTGAGTTCCTCGTCAATCTGCAGTTAGGTGCTGCACCTCACAGTCTGACGTATGAATCACAGTCCGGTTGATCCAGGAGGTGTTTATCACATTCCCTTTTATACACCGCGTGAGGTCAGCAAATTATGTCCATTTTGCACTTCCTGCCATACCTCCTGGTCTCATGTGGTGTTATTTTCGTGTGCAGATTTGGGGCAAGTCGCTCCAATATTTTCCTAGCTTAATTTAGTACGTATCTCTCTCGTCTCCGCTCTATACATTCCGGTTTGAGAATTTTCAAGTGGCCCCAATAATTGAGATGTTATATTAAATTAATTCGGCAAGTAGATCTCTGCTCGTTCTCCAGGTCAACAATTTCTCCAGCTGTGAATGGGGCTGTTAGTGTGCAACAATATTCCACCCTAGAGAGCACTAGTATATTTAAAAGAATCATCATTGGTATAGCATCTCTTGTTGGAAAGTGGCATTGCTTCTGGCAGTATGGGTTCGAGTCACTTCTGGAGTGTGAGTTTTCAGTTGCATATATGCCTGGAGGCCGTTCAAGCTTGTTCACACACACACACACACACACACACACACACACACACACACACACACACACACACACACACACACACACACACACATATATATATATATATATATATATATATATATATATATATTTATTAAATATGACCGAAAAAGTAAGATTAATAATTCTAACACGAATTTTCTCAATCTTTCGTACATTATGCTTCACTGTTGGAGGTAAATCAAAAATCACTTCTCCAAAATTCATTTTTATTTCTAGTCTGACGCGACACGGGCGCGTTTCGTAAAACTTATTACATTTTCAAAGACTTCACAAATACACAACTGATTAGAACTTGCATTTCCCTGATTTTATATCTACATTTGAGTGAGGTGGGAAGGGTGATGTGACATTACATTTGAGTGAGGAGGGAAGGATGATGTGGCATTAGAGGATATTAATAGGGTATTAAAAGTATCAACACAAGACAGAACACGAAACAATGGATATTGAATAGAAGTGTTTGTAGAAAGCCTATTGGTCCATATTTCTTGATGCTTCTATATTGGAGCGGAGTCTTGAGGTGGGTAGAATATAGTTGTGCAATAATTGGCTGTTGATTGCTGGTGTTGACTTCTTGATGTGTAGTGCCTCGCAAACGTCAAGCCGCCTGCTATCGCTGTATCTATCGATGATTTCTGTGTTGTTTACTAGGATTTCTCTGGCGATGGTTTGGTTATGGGAAGAGATTATATGTTCCTTAATGGAGCCCTGTTGTTTATGCATCGTTAAACGCCTAGAAAGAGATGTTGTTGTCTTGCCTATATACTGGGTTTTTTGGAGCTTACAGTCCCCAAGTGGGCATTTGAAGGCATAGACGACGTTAGTCTCTTTTAAAGCGTTCTGTTTCGTGTCTGGAGAGTTTCTCATGAGTAGGCTGGCCGTTTTTCTGGTTTTATAGTAAATCGTCAGTTGTATCCTCTGATTTTTGTCTGTAGGGATAACGTTTCTATTAACAATATCTTTCAGGACCCTTTCCTCTGTTTTATGAGCTGTGGAAAAGAAG